TCCTGTGGACAGCAAGCATGAAGACCCATTTTCTGTATTTTCTGTGTCCTTGGTGTCTTTGTGCGTTGTGTGTGTGCCTAGCCATTCATGTTCGTGCATTTTAGGTGCTCGATAAAATGCCGCTTATAAAGAGAAAAAAAACCGGCCACACAGGAACCAAAGAGCTTTGTCGGGTGGTCTACCGGGTTATGCCACCTTTGCCACTCTACATACATCTATTGGACACGGCATGCTCTGCTGTTCAAGCGCTTGGCGTGGGGTTACTGCTAGTTAATTTGATGAATTTGGGTTTTCTTGTATAATCGTAGGATAGTGAATTTATGCGGGCAAACATCTTGCTTCTAAATTACCAACTTATATATACCAATATACCACAATAATAAAAAAACAATACAAGAGTCGGACCTATTGGATCTGAGCTATGCTTCTAAACATTTATGCCTTCCAGAGTATCCCGGGACCGTGGTGGGCGGCATGGCGCCACCGGAACCGAGCCATGTCGCCTGTGAGTGGCTTCCTCGATGGGTAAGTAATTGTGTTCTATCTTGGTTTCTTGTTGTGTTGAACCCTAGATAGCTTCCGATTTGATACCGCGTTCATCATCGTAGGATGGATCCAAAACAAGTTTCTTCCTTGATATGAAATTGTTTGGTAACAATACTAGAGTGGAGGGTGGCTGGTATAGTACCGGCAAGGTTGTAGACAAAGATGACTATACTAATTTCGAGGACTTCGTTGATGATATCTTGCATTCATACCCTAAAGGCTACGATGATGTTGTCAAACTGTTTCTACCTTGCCGATGAATCCCATGTAGAAATCGTAAGCAGACGAGGAGCTGCTTGCAATGTTTGCTAAGCATGAGAGCTCTAAAGTCATCCGCATGTCCATTGGCTACTTTGATACTAGGAAGCCACATGTTCCTCCTCCCGATTGGAACATATCCAATGTTGTTATTTCGATGTTGTGCCTTGTACACCTTCTTTGCCACAAAACCCTCCTCTCAAAGCTATCACACAAGGCACCCAACCTACAAAATCTGATTCCCATGGTACCCAACCCATGAAACAACTAATGACACATTGGACACATATCTTGTGAATCCTTTCCCACAAAATGAGCATCTTTGGAGATGATGATGATGATGATGATGAGGGTGATCATGAGCGCATGTCCTACACACGATACGCCCAAAGGAGACTATGTGCCCAAACTACGATTACGAATCAGGCTATGGAACTGACGATGCCTCATCTGATGAGGAGCAGCAGGACCCACCCCAGCCTATAGAACCAGAAATTGTTTATGATGTTAATGACCCACCAATGGTAGTAGGCAGCATTTATCCCAACATGAATGTGTTTAAGTTGGCTATTGCTCAGCATTCAATCAAGCATGAGTTTGAATATAACACTGAGAAGAGTGATCCAGGGAGGTTTAGGGCACATTGCTCATCCAAATCAGAAGGGTGTCCGTGGAGGATCCATGCATCAACAATGCAAGACAAGGTTACAGTAAAGGTAAACGCGAGTCCTTTCCAATTTTTTTACATATTTATGATGCTAACGACATTGCTGGTTTTGTTTGACTGGTGAAGAAAAACCCCGATGATCATAATTGTGAGAGTAAAAGGAGGAAAGGAAGCGTGCGCAAGCCACTTTCTTTTTTGGGTTTGTGAGAAGGTTAAGGATTGGTTAGTGGAAGATGCTAGCATTGGACCTAAGGAACTACAGAGAAGGATCAAAGATACACATAAAGTTGTTGTGTCATATAAAAGGGTTTTTTATGGTAAAGAGTTGGCGCTGAAACAATTATTTGGTGATTGGGACACTAGCTTCAACAACCTATACAGATTCAAAGCAGCAGTTGAAGAGGCATGTCCTGGCAGTTTAGTCGTCATAGATCACTACACCATCGAGGAGAAGATCAGGTTTAGAAGGCTGTTTTTTGCACTAAAACCATGTGTCAATGGTTTTCTTAGAGGATGTAGGCCCTATTTGGCTGCTGATAGCACATTTTTGACTAGTAAGTTCAAGGGTCAGCTAGCAGTAGCTTGTGCAGTAGATGGGCACAACTGGATGTATCCAGTTGGACTTGGAGTGTTTGACTCAGAGACCACTGAGAATTGGAGTTGGTTTTTTCAGCAACTCAAGAATGCTATAGGCACACCACCAGGATTGTCTATATGTACTGATGCAGGTCAAGCAATCATGGCAGCTGTAGCTGCTGTTTTTCCAAATGTAGAGCATAGGGAGTGCATGGTGCATTTGGTTAGTAACTTTAAAAAGAGGTATCATGGAAAGGTATTTGATAAGAACTTGTGGCCTGCTGCATATTCTTAGAATTCATACTATTTTAACAAGCATTGGCATGAAATGGCTGAAGCTAAACCTGCTGCAGTGAAGTATCTAAGGCAAAATCACACCAAATTGTGGACCAGAAGCCAGTTTTCAACTCTGTCTAAGGTAGATTATGTCACTAACAATCTAGCTGAGAGCTTCAACAACTGGATCAAGAGTGAAAAAGATCGGAACTTAGATGATCTTATGGACGTGATCAGACAAAAGCTCATGGTCAAGTGGAATAAAAGGAGGAAAATTGCACGAAAGATGGAAGGCAAGATATTACCCCATATTGTGAAAAACCTAAAGGAGAGGAGCATAAATTTGGATATGGATGTGCTTGAAGGTTCAGATGAAATTGGAGAGGTGATAAGGAGGGGTGGCTCAGGTTTCAGGTATGCTAATTACCTTGCTGGTTTTATTTTAATTAATCTAAATCCTTGTTGGTCACATGTTTATGATGCTAATTACCTTGATGGTCTTATTTTAATTAAACTGAATCCTTGTGGTTACATGCTTATGATACAGGTATGCTATTAACCTTAAGGAGAGAACTTGTACGTGCAGAGAGTGGCAAGTTTCAGGAAAGCCTTGCAATCATGCAATTGCTATGATCACTTCTATTAGAGGTCAGAATCTTGAGGATCACGTGGACTCCTACTTCTCAGTTGACATGTTCAAATCAGCATATGAGGAGGCAATTCCAGCTTTGCCAGATAAGTCTCAGTGGCCTGAGTCTCAGCATGGTTTCTTCATGCGTCCACCACTGCTCAAATCAACTTCTGGAAGGAGAAAGACACAGAGGCATAAAAGCAGTGCTGAAGGTGGGCAAGGTAGAAAAGGGAGGCACCAGTGTCCAATTTGCAAGCAACATGGACACCACTGGTGGACCTGCAAAGATGGTGATCCAGAAGACAAAGCTGCCATGCTTGCAGCCAGGTATTATCAAACTTCATAACTCTTGCAACCTCTATTTATATTTCTTGTAAATCTTTATTTTTCAATTCTTGTAATGAAAAATGAATAATGTTGTAGAGGCCCTCCAAAATCTAAGAAGAGAAAAACAAATGAACCTACAACAGAATTGAGCATTGATGCACCCTCTCTACAATCTGCACCAACAATGACATTCCCTCCTGAGACACCAAATGAGTTGGCTGCACTTGTTACCAAGAAAAAGAGGACACCATCATCATCAAGCTCAATCAAGTAAGTAACCTAACTGTAATTCGTTTTCAGCTACATTGAACCAACACTAAGACATAGAATGTTGCTCGCTGAGCATTACTTAACACCTAACTTCCATACTATTGCCCTCATTACAGGATGTCAGGGTCTGGTTCCAACCAACTTGAACCAATGGCCGCAATCATGCTTCCAACTACAGAGAAGGCAACTAAAGGAAAGAGGGCCAAGTCCAAGCTTGTGCAGGATAAGAAGGCGGCGCCTACTCCTCAAGATAGCCCAGCGATGTGCACTAGAAGCAAAATAGATCATTCCACTCCTGGAAGCCCGGCATTGTGCACTAGAAGCAAAAGGAATCTAGATGTCTAATTGCTGTGTGTTCTCTTTTGCATGAGATTGTGGAATGTCTCATCTTCTTTTGGATATTATATATGTGAGCGCCATGTTGGTGTGTAAGACTTATGTACGTAGCACGTAGCACTTATGTAAGAGTTTGACATTTAGACTTGGAATGTCAACCTATGTTATTCTCATGTTATATTAGTGTTTGTTAGACTTGTTATATCTCTCTGTACAATTTTCTTGTGTCACTTTATGTGCATTTAGATGATATGCTGCAGAAATTTATATAAATATTAATCCTTTCCATTTTTTATGTACATGTTTATGATACTAATTACTCTATGTCCATGTATTTATGTCAGCCAAAATACGACATAACTCATGTAGTGGCACACATAGAATGTGAATTTTGCTGCACATCTATGAAGGAGGGGCATAAGTGTCTTTTTAACCTGGAGATAACTGTTGTTTGCTGCACTACAGACGGCAGTAGCACTCATGGAACGAAAAAACAATTTCAATGGCACTCATGTCTAGATCAAAGATTCAGTGGTTTGCCCGGAATTATGGAATCATTCAATGGCACACACGGAATTTTCTCAAGTTATTTGAGACGTGGATGCTGATTTTAGTTCCCTAACATAAACCAAGCTATTCAGAAATATAACGCTCGGTGTCAGATTGATTAATGGGGGAGACGCCAATTCTTTGGCTTTCCACTTCTAGTCTTTGACTTTTCCCCCTTTTTCTATACCTTTGTGATGATTTCAACAACTTGACACAAGCTAAGCTCAATTAATAAGCAAAGAAATGCTTAGCCGTTGACACCCGGAGTGATGTGCTTCAACAATCGTGCAGATAATCACAGCTTTAAGCCGAAGATCCAGCGGCTCAGGGCCACGAGCGCCGGCTCCTCCTCGCCCTCAACGCGGCGTGGCGCCTCCGTGTCCCAGGGCTCGTCGCGCCGGTTACCCTGGCTCCAGCGCCCAGAGAGAAACGCCGACGCCGACTTGGCCACCGCCGTGGCCTCCGGATCCCACCGTGTCGAGTCGTCGTCGTGCCGGCGGCGGTCAAGGCTCAGCCGCCCGGAAAGGGACGTCGCCGAGGCGGCGACGCGGTCGAGGTACTCGCCTAGCCACCCGCGGGACCCCACCGCCTCCGCCAGACCTTCGTCGGGGCTGCGGCCGCCGGCCTCGCCGCTGCTGCCGCGGGACGGACGATGCGGAACACGATGGCCTCGACCTCCTCGTCGACGCGGTAGTCGAAGGAGCCGCCGAGCGAGTAGGTGCGCCGCTCGTCGCCGCCGCCCGCGGCGGCGGAGGAGCGGCGGTTGCTGACGCTGCCGAGCTCGACACGGAAGCTCCTCCTGCTGCTTCTCGCCCGCGTGCCGAGCGGCTCCTGATGATCCTGGTCCCCTGCGGCGGTGGCGGCGACGGGGAGGGGCGGGAGCGGCGGGGACAAGACGGCGCTGCGGCAGATTGGGCAGACCGGGTTGGTGCAGAGCCACGCGTCGATGCAGGCGGCGTGGAACGCGTGGCGGCACGCCGGGAGGAGCCGCAGCTCGGCGCTGGCTTCGAACGGCGAGAGGCAGACGGCGCAGTCCGGGGAGTTCTTCGGCAGCGCCGCCAGCGCTGACGCCATGGTGAACAAGGGCAGCGACGCGATGAGGCGCTCCGTGTCGGTGTCGTCGTCCGTGTCTGCTGCCTCCGGCTCCGCCTGCTCCCTCACCGGATGCACCTCCTCCTCCACCGCCGCGGCGATCATCCTCGCCGGCCCCGCCTCCCCGCCGTGCCTGTGTCCGCTTGATCATCCCTCCCCGCCAGGACGCCCGGTCGCCTCGCCACCCCTCCCGCGCGTCGTGGATGCCTATGCGACGAGGACGCGGCCCACCGGCGGAGGATGCAGCGGAGCAGCAGGATCGCGGAGACAGCAACCACCAGCAAGCCAAAGACGATGAGCAGCGCGGACTTGAGCGAAGGGGCCGCCGTCGGAACGGTCTCGCGGGCGTCGGCGGTGGCCAGCGGCGCGGGCGGCGACGCCATTGTGCCGTGTGCCGAGAACGAATTGGCGGAAGCGAATGGAATAGGAATGGCGGAAGGGACTTAAATTTCAAACGCCGTGGCACATTTGGTTTGGAATTGGAAAGCAGAATTTCAGATTCCATCGGAAATTATCTACTGCTAATATAGCACAAATTAGTTGAGTTAATTCAGGTGGTTCATGTATTGTTTCCCATGAAAATGCTCCTTCAAATACAGCAATGAGTGCCTACACAAAACTAAGTTCTAGTCTCAGATCATGGAAGGTGTGTAGTAAAACTCAGCAACGGATTGGAGGAAACAGTTACAGTCCACATCCCCTGAGTTTCGGACTCGTGCAATAGAACCTTCGTGTGTCTTGTCAGAGCATCTCCAAGTTTACTATCTCAACTTGCCATCCATATAATTTTGACAAAACAAAAAAAAATAGCCTCCAACAGTTTGGCAAAACAACTTGGCATCAATAGCAATTTGGCAAATCTTTCCTCCGCGCGCGCAAATATACGCGCGCGTATACGGCTTGGCATCCGGGGCTATTTGTTCGCTTAGCGGGGCTCTTCGTTCGTTTAGCGGGCCTCTTCGTTTTGTTAACGGTTTTTTTTATTTTACCAAGTCAAAAATGCCAAACTCTTGGAGATAGATTGTTTTTTTACTTGACATATAATTTTGGAAGTTGGCAAATTACAAGATTTGCCAAGTAAAATTTGACAAACTCTTGGAGATGCTCTCAGTCATCGACTCATTGTAAACCCAACGTGTTCCATAAGCAGACAGGTAAGATCATTGTAAACTAATCGTATCCCAACTGATTTAAAAACTGATATTTAGTACAAGAACCAACCTCCTATAGAAATAGAAATCTTGCTGGAAGCCAAACACAATATTTTGTTCAGGATTGGCAGCAAAAGAAAAAATGGTACACTTTCCAGTAATTTAGCTAGATTTTATATGTTTGTCATGTGTAGATGTCTGATGTCATAAATCAAAGATGACTGGTTCCCCAGTGTAGTACTTAGCAATACATTTTTCACAATTATGCAACTTTACTCAACAACCCAAACAATTAAGGCGGTTCTAGATATGTAAGCTATATACAAAAAAGGGGCCAGACTGCAAAAGGCTCAATTCCAGAATTTTGCTGCCTTCGTGGCAAGGATATTCACCAGCTATATTTCTACAACATGTGTTTTGTTAAATGTTTGGCTCATTAGATAGGAGTGACATTGGGAAGTAAAGATCACACCAGTTGATGCTTGGAAAGCTGTTTTTTTTACAACATTCTTGGAAAGCTGTTGAGACTGCTTGATGCAGAATGCTTGAAGAAGAACAATATATTAGCGACAAGAACATGTGGCAAGCACTTCTTGGCTATTTCCTCATATATTTCACCTAAAATTTCTTTTTCGATTTTCAGAGAAACAACATTGATGATGATTTACTAGATATCTTTACAAAGAACATAATTCAAATTTTCTAGTCAAGCGTCTAGCCAAATAATATGGGGAGAACATTGAAAGAATCTTTCATACAAAATCTTAAAAGTATTAAAATACCAGAATACCTAAGTTGTAAGCCTCATGGTTATATACATCATACACATTCTGCCTTTTATGCCCACATTAAATGCATATAAGTTTGTAGTTGATAAACTTTTTATTTGAGATCATTTAGAGGCCCAATCTTTAGAAAAATTGATACAAATATTGATACTGTTTTCTATAAATCTAATCTAACTTTAATTAAAAAAATTTGATATGAATGTTGATATTGTTTTCAATAAATCTAGTCTAGCTTAAAAATTTGACTTCTCAAAAAGCGATGTGTGTATTTTTTTGGGGGACGGTGGAGGGATTACTCATCATCCAGCAAGGCAGCAAGCACTGACAGAAGTAAATATATGTAATGTAATGCATTGCCATCACTTTAACCCTATCCTACTATCCGACAACACTGACAGAAGTCGACCGCCCTGCTGCAGGCACCCTTTGTAGGACGGCGCTGTGGGTATGTGGTCTCTTCTCTTGCTCTGAGGAATTCCACGGCACCCAAACCCTGAAAAATATGACGAAGTAGTGCTTGTTGATCTATCAAATTATCTTGACAGCTTTTTTTTTTAATTATCTTGCCAGTCCTGGCAAATCACCGAAAACCATAAGATAATAACTGATATCTCATATTGGATGAATCTGATTCATATACAATGCCCCTTACATCTTTGAGGACATTTCCAGAATTCTAGTGAATTGTTCACCTATTAATCACACTACGATGAAGGCATCCAGATCACGTTGTGTCGGTGTTTCGGACCGGGGGTCCTCAACCGACTAGTGAATTTGTTCTGCGTGCTCCCGATTCTGGATGGTGATGCAAAGAGACACAAGGTTTATACTGGTTCGGGCAATCGAGGCCCTACGTCCAGTCTGAGAGATCGATCTTGTATTCCTTGCACCGAGATGCTCGTAGTAGGGGGTTACAAGCTAAAGGAGAGAGGGAGCTGGTCCCAGGTCTCGGCAGGGCGTCGTGCGGGCCGCTTGAGACGTTGCTCTCAGGCGGCAGGGATGTGTGTGTATGTGTGTGTGTGTTACAAGGTTTTTTTCCGCCCCCCCCCTAAGTGGCCCAAGTCCTCTCCTTTTATAGTTGAAGGGAGGACAAGGACCGTACATGTATTACTATGCGGCGTCGTGCCAATAGGGGTGGCACGTCCGAGCCCTGTGGCCTGTCCCTGTGGTGGCGTGGTCGTCGGAGTGGTCCATCCTTGGAGTACTGGGGCGGCGTGGTCGTCCCATCAGATCCTGTGCGTCGTGGGAGCCCCGGGAATGCCTCGGAGTGGACGCGGCGGCGAACGTGCAAGCCACTGTGGACGGACTGTGCGCGAGGCCGAGACTTGGTCGGTGCCGAGGCTGGCACTGCGGTGGGGGGGGTCTCAGCAGGCACGAACCCCAAGATCGCCGAGGCCTCGGTGTACAGTGCCGAGGCCTTGAGCGGGCGGCCGATCATGGGTACAGCGTTTGGACACAGTGGTCGGTAATCCCCGTCGTACCCTGTCCCAGCCGGTATGGCGCTGATCGTGGACACAGTGGTAGGACACAGTGGCCGGTAATCCCCGTCGTGCTCTGTCCCAGCCGGTATGGCGCTGATGCGACCTCGGGTCGCGTCGGCCATCCTGTGGCGTTGAGCCACCGTCCGGCTGAGATTGCGGGAGTGGTTGAAGCATTAATGAGACATGACGAGTTGTCGGGAGGGTCGGCCGAGGCGGGGGGCGACGGACCGCGGACGAGCCGGCCTCGAGCGACACGGAGAATGAGGCCTCACGCGAGACGGAGATCAGGTTCCTTGCAGAGACCTTGCGCGAGACGCCTCGCGTGATACGGAGAATGTACCCCTGCCGAGGCCTTCCCTGGAGAGCCTCGGGCGAGATGGAGACGGCGCCCCCTGCCGAGGCCTACCCTGGGGAGCCTCGCGTGAGGCGGAGTTTGTTCCGAGACCTCCTGCTCGAGGCTCGAGGCGAGGTGGAGGAGGGCTCGGTCGTGGCAGGTGAGGGGCCCACGGCTTACCTTCTAGCTTTATTTTGATATTTGCTTGGGGTACCCCATTCTAAGATACCCGACAGTAGCCCCCGAGCCTTGGGGTGAGTGCGTGCACTCTCCCTGAGGGTTCGTCGAGGCTGGGTTTATGCCTGCTCCGTAGGAATTGGTTTGTTTTCTGAGGTTCCGGTGGGTGCGCACGAGCGCACCCGCCGGGTGTAGCCCCCGAGCCCCTGGAGGAGTGAAGTTACTCCTCCAGGGGCTTTCTCCATTTTCGCGTTTGAGTGATCAGTTCTTATTGCATTTGCCGAGCCCATAAGCGCAAGTTCAGGTTGCGGGGGTCTCGGCGAGGTTGCAAAAAAGGGCCCTCTAGCCTCCGCATGGAGCGAGAGGTTCGTCAGGGGTCCCCCTGACGTTGGGTATGTCCCTCACGCTTCCTTATGCTCGGAAGGAGGGGTGGAATGTGCCATGCTACCCTCGATGGGCACGAGCGTGGACACTTTCGGTGAGCTGTTATCGAGTAGTCCGAGTGGAGGCCCGAACCCCGTTCGTTAGGGGACGGCTAGCGGTCTAGAGACACACTCCAAGAGTACCAGAGGATTTCTCTAGTGGGTGCCGAGGCCGTTCGTTGGGCCTCGGTGGCTCGGTGCCTCCCTACGGTGGGATCCTATTCGGATACTTTTCTGCCGGGTCTCGGACACGACTTTGGGCGTCCCAAGCGTTTGGCTCGCTTGGGTCTCGCCCCGAATAGGCTCGCCATGATGCGCCTCGACTCTGTTATCCTGGGGCATTGTTGAAACCCTTTTGGGGTCCACCTTGAACCCTCAGATCGTAATAGGCTCAGAGTCCGGTTCCTTCCTATGAAAGGAACAGCCATGGGAAATATCTTCCCTATTGGCTCGGCCAGTGAGTGGCGCGCTTTTGAGGCGATTTTATTGGGAGTCGAAACGGTACTGCTACCGTAGTGGCGGAAAGCGTGGCATGGTGGATGGATGTAACCGTCCTCGCATTTAATGCGGGGACGCGATGGCGCGTGGGCAGTGAAATCGGCTCGTGGTTAACCGCGCTTGATTGGGGGAAATCTCCCCGATTTCATCGCCCGCTTGTTTCGCCTCCTCCCTGCATAAATACCTAGGGAGTTTTGCCCCTCCTCGTCTTACCTTGCCTGCATCAGCGCCGCCCCCGCCGAGCCGTCGCTAGA